GAAAACACCTTGTGGGGGTCATTTAAAGTATACAAGCCAGGCTGGTCTCCCTCAGAATCTCCGACTGACACTCATCCTCGTCTCTTCTGAAGGGATCTCTCACTGTGTTGATACTATTTTCAAGTCCAAGAAGAGAGCATATCAACACCTATGCATAGCTACCAAAGGAAAGTAGTGTAAAGTGCATTAATGCAGAAATGTTACAATATATTTTGTTTGCTTTTGGCTTTCAAGTCTATGAAGCTCTTGGTAACTTCACTTAAAGATTTTTTACATCTCATATTGATGCAGAATAATAAGTCAAATTCTTTCACCTTCTAAGCCAGTAGAGTTGTTTTTCAGTGAAGCAAGGAGTGGAGAGGAGAAAGCACACTAAACATAACAAACCCCTAAGATGTTTATTTTTATTTTTTTGGTACTGGGAATTGAACTCAGCACCTTGCACTTGCTAAGCAGGTGCTGTGCCACTGAGCTATAGCCCCAGTCTGCCCAGGATGTTCTTAAAGCAAGTTTATTCCAGCCAGAGCGTCCCCTTTACCAGTTCTGGAACTACCGAGGTGCAATATGACATACTTTATGGGATTCGTGTTTCTCCTTTTTAAAGTTTATGATTAGTATATGCATGTACATGAGTGTTTTGTTTTTCTACCATTGAAAAACAGTCATAAAACTAATGTGGAGTACTTGTAATTATGTTTTCATTGCATCTTTCACTTATTATTATTTTTTTTTTGTCTTTTTGAGATAGGGTGTCCTATGCAGTTCAAGCTGATCTTGAGCTCACTTTTTAGCCCACGTTGTCCTCAAACTTGCAACGATCCTCCTGCCTCAGCCTCCTGAGTGCTGGCGTTGTAGGAGTGCACCACCATGCCCTGCTTACTTTTACTTAATCTTTTAGTGAAATGATGGCATTGGGCCCAAGAATTGACTCAATATCATGAAGTCAGTTAACATTCAGAAAGTAAAGAAAATTTACAAATTGAAAAAAAAAAATGGATTTACAATAGCATCATTTTTATGAGGTGAATACAGTGGTTATAGTAGATTATAAGAAAAATTTACTGAGCAACTTCATTGAAGATAACAGTATGTAATAAAATAACCACTGTTAATCTCTATCATTTGGTTTGAAACCCTGTATAACTCTTAATGTCCTTGCTTTGTTTTGTCTGTATTTTGCTATTGTTCTTTTTTTTGTACTATTTCCTTTAAAGTAAAAAAAGTAAAAAAAATTTACAAATTGAAACATTCAAGAACAGTACATGTTATAAATATATAAGAATAGAAAGTCCCTATGGTTCCAGTAATCTTAGGACCCTCTAAATAACTCATAAAATGTAGGTTGGAAGCTACAAAAAGAAAGTAAAAACTTACATGGAGTATAGAGTCAGGAATATCCAGTTTTCCCATTCAAAGTAACCTGTTTCATCTTTTGGAAACTATGAAAACTAGGTAAATAAAATATCAAATTACAAGAGCTTCATGCATTTGAAAGCCATTTGTCATCTGGTGTGACTGTTAACTTTCCTAATCCTTCACATTCTTTCCAATGAAAGAGAGAACATTATATCTTAGGTTGTTCTAATAAGTGTTATGAGTTAATATTTATTTAAAGCTATTTAAGCTCGAAATGGTCTCTGAAAGATAACAGTGATAATCCTGTTTATTAAAGCAAAGGAAAAATTACATTTGTGAATTTAACAGTGCTTCATCATCTATTCGATAACCATATCTTAAAAAATTAAAGAACCAAAAAGACCTGTCATCTCACACATGAAATACTTAATTCTTTGTGTTTTCTTTCTCTGCAAGTCATTGACTATGTTTAATTTTAAGAATTACAGAAATGCTTTGTGTTTTAGTCAGAACTGATTTCCTTTCTTAGAGGAATGCAAGTCAGAACAGGCAGATGTTTAATATTATTTGTTTACCTTGATTTTATCTTTAATATATCTAAGGACTTAAAAAGCTAATATATAATTGGTTAAGTAATTAATGAAAAGGTAGAAATTTGAATTGATGTCATAGTGTCTTCCAAAATAAGTATTGCACAAGCAAGAATGAACAATGAATAAAACATTATACCCAAAGTTTCATAAATATATGATTTTTCAGCAGTATAGTCAAGAAGTCGACTATCAACAATTTGTTCATGTTTTTAAAAGCATGGATAGCATTAGATTGCAGGATTTCCAAGGTTTAACTCTTAGAAATCATAGAATTGAAGTTTTAGAGTAGAAAATTTTACTGAAGAAATATTTATTGTTCAAAGTGTGATTTAGGTATGTGAAAATGGGAGGAGAGATTATAACTAAATGGAAATAGAATGCAGACTGTAAGCATAGAGTTCAGTAGAAAATAGAAATAGAAGTAGCAGAAACGACTCCAGAATTCCTCAGTTTGAAAATAAGAAACAAAAGCCTTTTCTTCTTTAACACAAAGAAAGCACCAGAAAGGAAGGAAGGAAGGAAGGA